CAGCAGGTGATTGAAAGCCGCAAGTTGGTTCGCTCCCGCCTGTTTGCGCCATCTCGCCCTTCGGTTGCTGAACCACACCTGATGGGGAGAGGAAAGACCACGTGTGACTTACTCTGAGCTACTGTCCCATCTCACCTGGGTTGCTGATGGAAACACATCCTGAATTACAGCACTGGCCAAAAATAGGTTCAAGTGGCTGCCTGACACAGACTTTGTGAGCATTCGTCTCAGTTCCTCAGTTTCCTTTCTCCCAAATGACAACACTACTACCGCCCTGTCTCCTGGGTGAAGATACATGCATTTAAAATTGTGAAAGATACTACTAAGAGCATGGGAGGGTGCTATCAGCAGTAGGGTGAGATGAAGAGGAATAATTTAGCTTGTGTATTCCGAGAGAGTCCATACCAAATAGATGCATTGCTACCACCTGGCCATTCTGCCTTGTTATCTGACAACTATGTGAATTATGCTGAAGGATTAAGTAGCATAATAGCAACACGGCTGCACTGTTAGGAGGGATAAATAGACAGATTAGCATCATGGTTTCTATGTTAGACAAGCTAAATAGATAGAACCAGACCGGAGGGAATACAGGGTTTTCTTAGCTTCTCTGTACTGCAGCAAATCACTGTCGTCTGTATGCTAAGACATGCTCTCCTTGCAAGAGGCACTGCAGTGTGCACTAGAATTGTACTGCAGCCAATTTAAATCACTGTGCATTAAAATAAACCCAGTATTAATGCATGTGCAAAGCTGGGCTCGTGTTTCCTATAGTGCTAGTTTACCTGTAAGACTCAAGGGGAAATTTTTCTAAATGCATTTGCCTGCCCTGATGTGTTCTATCATGGGCAATCTCCCTTCTGCATAGTGGAAAGGGCTTCTCAAGCTGTCTCTTGGGCTTGGTTTACTTCATTTAATCAGAGAGGCTCTCAGGCCCGATCCCTGTTTGGGGTTCAGAAGTATGCGGATAAGCTTTCAAGCCAGATGAGAATGCAGCTGCTAGACTTTGTGAGGCCTAAAGGGCTAGAAAACACGATTAAATTTCACAGCAACAAGAAAAAATGGAGCAAAAATCAAGAGTGTAAAGCATTCCGGGGGAAAAAAAATCCTCCATCAGGCTTCCAAGCTGCTCAACATCAGATCAGAAGCTGGGGTTACAAGGGTTTGAGGCACTGCAGTCCAAACTGTCCCCACATCTTGGGAACCAAACCAAAACTCTCTGCCCCAAATATAGCAGAACCTTAGTCCGATGCGCTTTGCACTTCAGACACGATCCAAATCTCAAAGTGGATGTCTTTCTCTGGCCTTTAAATTGAGTCCCCCTGTAAATGGTCACTTGTCAGTTTGCCTTTTTTTCTTACTGGCACCTGTGGGTATGTATAATTCACTCGGCATGACAAGGCAACATGTTTTCACTGAGAGATGCTAAATGGAGTGTTGGCTCTCAGTCCCCATGCACTGCAGTGGTGCTTGCTGCAAAACAAGCATACACTGAGCTTCACACACAAATTCCTGCGAGGTTCTCTGGATCACAGTCTATTATTGCTCTTTCTACGTGTTACTCATCTACTACTGCACTGTGGAAACAGTTTGATTAAAACCTGCTAATGACAGTTGCGTGTGACAAGCTGACGACGGCTAGGAAGGACCTAGTCCTGGGCAGTCCTTCACTTCATGCTGTTATTTACATCCATGTACAGTAAAACCAAAAAAAGCCCCATTTTCTTTGGAAGAGCTGGTCTAAATTAAACCCCCTGAAATGTATACAGTGCTGATGTCAGGTCCTTGGCACCAAATGCGTCTTTTTACAGACCTGTTCCGACTGCAGTGCACTACTGGCTGAAGCAGCATAACCTCTTAGCATCTTCCAAAAGCGTGACAGAAATAGGTCAGCTTACATCCGATCTGCATTGATCAACAAAGTCCATGCAGGTCAGAATCTCTGTGTCCATTTTTGGCACCAAAAGTCACTAGCAAAATCTCGGACAGAGTTAAGGAGAGAGAAATGAATGAACATTAAGGCCTGTAGCACTTTACAACTCTTTTATACAGTCCAATTCATGGCAGTTTCTAGGAGCAGTGAGCAACACGAATAAATAACCTTTTGTTTGCCCTGGACATGCAAAGAGGACAGTCCTGTCCTTTTCTCATGCATGCATGCATGTATGTGTAATTCATCCTTTGAATTAGGGATACAGAACTTGGCTCCTCCTCTCATATCATTTGCTTCCACTTTCACCGTTAAGGACATAAAAACTATCTGAATATTTCTGTTAGCTGAACATAAGGAGACAGTTTGTCCTCCTCTCTTCAGAGAAAAATGCCTAGTCCCAGGCTGGAAGAGCTTCCACTCAAAGAAAAAAAAGATCTCAATGCTGAGAATAGCACATAAAATTCAAATACCTGAAGGGAAAACATAACCAAAGCAGATATGAATCCAGGAATCGAGAGGAAAAGAGAAATTGAACTCCAAGAATGTAAAAGCTACTCCAGTGATTTCTGACACTTTCCTGACATCGCAAAGGGTGGCCAGATACTGGCAAATCCACTCAGGATTAGAAGTTGAGAAGAAACATGTGGAGTGAGATGGTCTAGTACAGGACACATTTCTCCAGCAACACCCCCACAAGTACTCGGTTCCCCTGTGGTGGTCTGTCACTTGGCTTGGCTAACATATGATCAAAACACAACTTTGAAAAGATTTGTGTTATCTTATGTTACACCACGTGAGGTTATTGTCGTCCATGCACCAACACGCATGTTTGCATCCGTTGTTCAGAATTAAAATTCACACACGTGTGTACGACTCCTCCCATCTTGCTTCTCCACATCCAGTTAAGGGTGTGTAGTTCCTTTATATTTTAAGGGAAATAAAAGGATACTCTGGATCCTTTTACAAACAGGTAGAGTTGACCAAAAAGGCCTGTGCACGGGCCATTCTTGGGATGTCTTGCTTACTTTGGTCTACAATGCACATGGGCTTGTAAAGAAAGGAAAGCTAACTTTCAAGACAGTGGACTGTCACCAGAGAAAGTAAGTCAGTTCTTAATTATGCTACGGGCTCCTTCTGTGACTTCGGGAAAGCTATTGCTTTTCTGATTTGAAGTCAGTGGAAACATTGCTGCATTCAACAAATTTTGGTCCTTACACAACCCACAAATCAGATCACCACCTCTAAATTGAAGATAAAAAACACATTTTCTCACATTTTAGTTTATTTCAACAATCGGGCATCCGAGGCAGAGGCGCTCTCTAACTGCCAGTAGGCACCATACCCAGCGCAGCAAGATCTCTGTCTTGGCTGGAGCATCATAGCAAAACAAATAATAAATTATAGTAATAGTAAATACACATGCACCAAATGAGATCCACAACTACATACTTAAACACAGTGCTTCCTAACAGAGCCCGGCTGGAGAATCCAGCCACAAATACATTGAAACCTTCCACAAAGAAATTGATAGGATTTACCTTCCCGTGCAGAGGAAGGGACATTTCATGGCCCAAACAGGTTGATTCCGCCCCTTATTTATAACCCACAGAAAAAAAGAAGATACATTCCAGCTAATGACGTTAGCAATTCTTTCCCTTCCCCTGCCTTAAAGGTGGCTCAGGCCTTTATGCTTATAAATCATTTTATTGGTAGTTAAAATATAGAGGCTAGAGCATCTAACTGTAATGCGAGGCACACTTCAAAGGGAACCTGCTTTCATTTCAGAACAGTTAAGGTTTTATCAGCCACTAAAGATTCCCCCTGCCAGAGGATCCTGTTACACCATGTTAAGCCTGGGGTGAAGGCTACAGCTGCTAAAACCAGACTGGTGGGAAGAAGATGAGGAAGAGGAAGAAGTTTTGAAGCTACTGGTCTGCCTGTGGAGATGTTGCTCTAAAAGCTGCTGGGGCTGGATCGTACGACTAGAGTTTTATGCTGGGACAAACGAAGCCAGCACTTGGGAAAAGGGCTGTGTGAAGAACCCAAGAGCAGAAAAACCAGCATGTCAGAAACCTGCTTTTTCTTAAAAAGACAAGTTCTTCATGATCATTTGTCTGTGCATAGCAAAGAGATCCTGCACTGTGTAAACGTGTTGCTTTCCACGGGTACGGAAGTATAATACAGGCCACTGAAGACAACAGTTTGTACCTGCTAAAGACATTTGGGGCTTTTGTCCCCACGAATTGTCTTCCAAACAATGTATTAAGTAGACAGGAGATGCGTTATAGAAACTGCTCAGATCTACTGAGAAAGATTACAGTTTAATGAGGACAGTCTTGTAAGAATATAACAGCAGCTGTACTGAATCCTTAAAAGAAGATATCCAAGCAGGTTCTTCATGTCCTAGTCATGTCCAGGGTCCAGATAAGACCAGAGTCACTCACTGTGCCACGTGCACCTTGCTCAGTAAGTGAGTATGCTGCTACAAGGATCCTGAGCACTAGGTGTTCACTGCAGAATATCACTCAATCCGTTACCTTCACCATCCCCTTCACAGATGGGAGAGGGAGGCACGGCGAGACTAAGAAACCTCTCCAATTCATCACTGTCTGCCTTGCAGAACCAGCTGATTTCAGAAGAGCCCATCCTCCCAGCCAGATTGGGTTTGGGGCAAAGGTTAGCACTGGTTCTTATTTAACCTGAACGCCTGCACCCAACCCTGCCAATGGCCAGCCAGAGATGTCCCAGCCACTTGTTCTCAACCAGCAGAGCAGCGGAGAAGGGCTGCAGAGACAGCTGCCTGCCAGGATGGGGCTGGACTGAATTATCCCCGCAGCCGCTGAGATATGGGTCAGCTCCCACAATTTGTCAGACAAGGAGAGGAAAGGAAGGTCAAAAAGAGCCTCCTGTGGGAAAGAAAGCCTGTTGTGTTCCTGCTCAGCCTAATCAGGACTTGATGTTAGAGAAAGATAGATGGGATAAATGAGCTCATAAATGGAAACAGGGATGGAAAAGCCAAGTCGTGCCTTTGCTCTCCAGCAGAATGGAAGAGATGCACCATGTGTTTGCTTTCACAGGCCCAAGAGGTTGCAGAAACCAGGTGGAAAAGAGTCATGTGGCCATTTATGGCCCAAGCACACCAAAA